TAATTATTCTGTGTGTTGTGGGAATGGGAGGTAGGGCTGCACAATATTGGAAAAATGTAACATTGTGATTATTTATTTTTATTCTGCTTATATCTTTGCAATATGAATACAATTTTACCAGACGACTTGAATATCTCTGTTTATGAAAAATTAGGCAAACAAAATAAGGCCATTTTTTTAATTCTGTAAATTGTATGTTTTGCTATTCTAGCTTAGATTGCTATATTAGCATATATATATATATATATATATGCTATTGATTATATAATTCTATAGGGCATCTGCATAAAACATAATACATCATCTACAAGCATAGATAAAAACAATAAAGAAAAATATACAAATAAAATAAACAGTCTGAGGATTCTAACAGTATCCAGAAATAATCAAGTGTGAAATAATACTGCATAGTCTTCATTGTATAAATATAATGAATATAATAATATAATATAATAATATTTCACCAAATTATGTTTAACAGAGCAAGGACATTTTCATGGTATGTTTGATAATATTTTTTTCCTTCTGCAGAAAGTCTTATTTGTTTTTTTTCGGCTAAAATAAAAGCAGTTTAAATTTTTTTAAAAACATTTTAAGATCTAAATTAATAGCCCCTTTAAGCTATATATATATATTTATATTAATAGTCTACAGAACAAACCATTGTTAAACAATAACTTTCCTATTTATCCTAACCTGCCTACTTAACCTACTTAGTTAAACCTTTAATGTCACTTTAAGCTGTATAGAAGTGTATTGAAAAATATCTAGTAAATTATTATTTACTGTTAAAGATAAAATATATCAGTTAATAGAAATGAGTTATCAAATATGTTTAGAAATGTGTTTAAAAAAGTTCTCTACGCCAAACAGAAATTGGGAAAAAATAAACAGGGACTAATAATTCAGTGGGGCTAATAATTCTGACTTCAACTGTGCATGCAAATAATAAACTTTAATTCAGACTCAACATTGCAGACCTTGTGATCTGACTACTGCAAATGATCATATTCCAATATTGATGCTCAAATGATACTGTATATTGGTCAGCCCTAATGGGAGGCATAACTTTTCAGGCAAAGGAAACATTTTATTAGCTTTTAAAAATGTTTAATTTCAACTTCAACTGTGCTCTTGTAAACATTTTTTTTTCTACACTGATAATCAATACAATATTTAATTCAGCATTTTATAAAGAACCTTTCACCTCAAACAGTTTCAGTTACACAAAGTTCTTTGTAGTAGAAAGAGTTTTGCAGATTATTAAAAGTGTTCTTCCTATTACACTGAAAAAAATTATTCAAAGATGATTCCTTGGATTTACTCAATTTCTTTACATTAAGAGGTTGTAAACAATTTATTTGGGTTGAATTTAAACAAACAAATTAAGTTGAACATTACTAAACTTAATTTGTTTGTTTAAATTCAACACAAACAAATTGTTTGCAACAGTTCTGCATGCAACACTTTTTTCAGTGTAAGAACGTCAGATGCTGCCCTCAAATCTCAGAGTCTATGATAAATCTCTCTCACCCCCAGTGGCTCAGGGTGGAACTTTAGCAAAGTTCCTGTTCCTCCAGAGGGAATCACAGACTGCCAAGATCATCTACTAATGAAGTCTGGAGGAAACTCAAAGCAAAAGATGAAAGAAAATGCTTTGAGGGCTCTCAGCACTTCTTTCACTTGTATCCACAAACAAAACTAAATAAAATCAAAACTTCATATCGAGTGCATCGTAATTGCCAAAAAAATAAATAAATAAATAAAAAATACACAATGGAGAAATCTCCATGGTGATGCAGCATTAATAATTACATATTGCATCAAGTCTGCTACTGAGGTCTCTATTGTTTTCTGTATTGTATCAGATTTTTTTCTTATTCTGTAATTGATGTTTTTAATTAAAAATTTTCATTAAATATTCAAAATTATTTATATTAACTTATCTTTGTATGTTTACATTTTTTTACATGCTTTTACCTGTAGTTTGTGACCAAAATGGCTGCATATATTGACAAATGGTTTAGAAACGACATTGTCTGTGCTCATAAGCTTTACTCAGCTATAAATTCTACACCAAACATGAACATATTATCATCTTAGCGGCATACTCCATTACAAATATGTATGCAGGACTCTCACCGTTGACCGCTGTAAGTCATAGATCAATATAATTACCTTTGCAAGATGAAGTGTAATAAAAAGTCTTCAGCATAATCTAGTGACTGATCATTATGGTGAAATCAAAGAGAAAAAAAAAAGAGTTTAATCACGTAATTTAATTTATTACTCTATTGGAGAAGCCGGGATAATTGTCAGTGTCAGCTTTCTTTTCTTTTAGTAAATTGTTTTGAATGTAATCATTGCAATATTTAACATTAAAAAGTGTATATATATATATTTGTATATGCAAATAAATTTTTGGCTCTAAACACAATGCGCAATTTTTTGTTTCATAATTTAAAAAATACTATCGAATAAAATAATAAATAGTCATGTTGGTAAAAACTATTTAAGCAAATGTTTTAATACAGCAGATCTTTAACATGTTTTGTAAGTAACTGTTGTTGTTAAAGTAATTTTTCTGTGAACACATTGTTTGCTTTGTCCTTTTAAACCATGGTTTAAAACCCATAATATTTTATATGGCAAAACTGTATTGCATCAATAGAATTTTCTCAATTAACTTTTTCCCCAGTGTGTGCTCCTTGATGTTTTTATTTTTATTTTTTTTTACCATAGGTGGCAGTGAAGGGAAACTTGGGCTTTACCCACTCTTACATGTTATTGCACTTTAAAGTTTCAATGTAAAGTAGAGCAGCACTGTGCAGAAAGTGGGTCTATTTTATAGCTGATCATATTTTATAGACATGATTAAAGACATTCTACCCCCGTGTTACAAGGTATTTCATAATGTGCAGCCACAAGTTGTGAAGTAGCGAGAAGCTGATTATCTCTGAAAAGTGAAAGTGTTTCCAAATGTTTAGATATGTTTGTAATCTTCAAGTATAAATGACTTAATAATGAATGTCTTTAAGTGCAAAATAAATAAACGTACATATATTTTATTGTAGGTTAAAGAGAAAAATATGTTTTGTGAGCAAACAAAATAAGGCCATTTTTTTAATTCTGTAAATTGTATGTTTTGCTATTCTAGCTTAGATTGCTATATTAGCATATATATATATATATATATATATATATATATATATATATATATATATATATATATATATATATATATATATATATATATATATAATAATATTTTAACATATTTCCCAAATTGTGTTTAACAGGGCAAGGAAACTTTCACAGTATGTCTGATAATATTTTTTTCTTCTGGAGAAAGTCGTATTTGTTTTATTTTGGCTAGAATAAAAGCAGTTTTTCATTTTTTAAACACCATTTTAAGGACAAATTTATCAGCCCCTATTAGGTATATCTTTTAATCAATAGTGAGCAGAACAAACCATAGTTATACAATAACTTGCCTAGTTGCCCTAACCTGCCTAGTTAACCTAATTGACCTAGTTAAGCCTTTAAATATCACTTTAAGCTGTATAAAAGTGTCTTCAAAAATATCTAGTCAAATACTATTTGCTGTCATCATGGCAATAATAAAAGAAATCAGTTATTAGACATGAGTTATTATGTTTAGAAATGTGTTGGAAAAAATCTTCTCTCCATTAAACAGAAACTGGGGAAATAAATAAACAGGGAGCTAATAATTAAGGGGGCCTAATAATTCTGACTTCAACTGTGTATATATATATATATATATATATATATATATATATATATATATATATATATATATATATATTAAATTATTCATTTTCTTTTCGGCTTAGTCCCTTTATTTATCAGGGGTCGCCACAGCGGAATTAACTGCCAACTTATCCAGCATATGTTTTATGCAGCAGATGCCCTTCCAGCCGCAACCCAACACTGGAAATAAAATTAAATATATTATATATATAATATATTATATGCTCAATTATACTTTGACTTGTGCTTTGACTGTATGCTTTAATCTAATAGCCTCAAATAACCTCTGGCCATATACCATCTACAAAAAAAAAAAAAAAAAAAAAGAAATGGAGAAAAAAGGCAAAATTAAAGATTTTTCCTTTAATATAATTATTTTATTTTAAACGTGCTGTATTTTAAAACTTGGACAGAACTTTTTTTGATTGGAAAGTCTGTAAAACTGAAGATAATGTCCTGGCAGAATGATTATATTCTTTATTATTGTTATTAATTTTTATTGAAATATTATTCATATTTTTATTCATTTTTTTATTTAATTCATTCACTTTCTTTTTGGCCTAGTCTCTTTAATAATGAGGGGTCGCCACAGCGGAATGAACCGCCAACTTATCCAGAACATGTTTTAGGCAGCGGATGCCCTTTTAGCCCCAACCCAACACTGGGAAATGTTATTTAATTTTAATTAACTCCCAATTAATTACAACTTTACAACATATTTTTTAAATCTGTTTTATAAATTGTGCTTTCCCAAGACCTGTCAGAAATTGTGACATTGTCCAACTGAAAATACTTCAGTTGTGGTTTATATTTAACCATGGTCAAATATCGGGAAAAGTAAACTAAGTCAATATTTTACAGACAATAATTAAATGATTTACCACTTTTAAACAAATAGGCTAATGTTCCAGTATTTATCTTTGGGAAACAATGCTCGCTTCATAGCATCATTGCAAAAAAAAGCTCTTTTTCCCTCACACTGCATAAACGGCTTTCATACTGTACATGAAGACTTGCAGCTACCTTTATTTTAGGAGGAAGTTCTTCTCTTCACGAAGTTTGAAATCCCCTGCACTGGTCCTTCTCCGCCCATATAAATGTCGTTTTCTTTGTGTTCCTCGACAAAAAAAAGACGTCCTAATATAATAAACATGCTCGAATCATATAGCGTGTTTGGTCCAATCCCAAACTCTTCCTAGTTTTATTGGTTTGGTGTAAACAATACGGTTCCAGCTGTTTCACCAGGCATGTTAGTGCAGTGCTGATTGACATTTCTTTACTGCAATCAAAAGAGAGTCTGAGTTATTCTCGGCTCTGGTTGGTCGACGCGCCTTTTGGAGGCGTGTATTGGAAGTTGAATCCGAATCCAGCTGTGAATTGGTTCGCATGAGCGGATTCGTGCTATAGACCGTTTTGCCGACTGGAAGAATCGTTGGAGACTTGAGTCTTTTCAAAATAATGGACAAGACTTCAGCATAGGGAGCTCTCTTTTACACATCGTTTTAGAACGAGCTTAATGTTTTTTTGTCTTTTCATGTGCAGACAGAAAAGCTCTGCCTGCATCTTCAGACAAGACTCTGAAGGATTTTACTTATTATCTAAGGATCTATGAGTGTAATCGTTGTTAATTCGTGTGAAAATTAGATACTGCGGTGATCCACAGAAAAAGAAAAAATCCTAAATTCATATCCATTACTACTTTTAAGTGCGCGCACACGGAGAAACAGGAGCGGAGCGCGCAATTGGGGATTGGGAAGCAGTTTTTACAGGACTTGCCTTGGTTTTATCAGGTTGTTGGTCATCGAAATACAATGTTGAAATCTTAACATGATGTCCAAGTCACTGAGATACCCATAAACCTGCTCGCGCTGTAAGTGCCACCTGGAAACTCAGCCTGCGAGCTCCATCAGATCCTATTCAGAACCATCATTTGGACTGCTTTCGCAACAGAAATGATCATGCGATGAGTGAGCTCGATCTGGGCTTATTGTCAAAAGCAATTACAGGTAAGAAATTAACATTTTATAATGTTTGACTGGTTTATTGTTAAAGCGTAATGGCGCTCATTTGAATGTTCATAATGTGGGTCGTAATAATATTAGCCAAGTTTTAAAGTCGAAAGTATTAATTTAAAATGTATATAATGTTTAATTATGATGTGTCGATTTTCTTTTTGTTTTGGTTTATTAATGACAGAATATTAAAGTAACATACTAATATATTGTTGTTGTTATATTGTATGTTATATTTTTATTGTTTTTTTAAATCAATTTGATCAACTTTTCACTAAATACCAGCTTATAAAATGTACAGTCCTGTATATAATCTATCCATATATTTTTTCTATTGTTAAAAATTAATTCACCGTCGCCCACTTTTAAATAATACATGTTAAACACCTTATGCGTGCATAAGGTGTTTTTAGAAATCAATTTATTCAAAATTAAGTATGAGATATAACATAAACTTGATCTTTTGCATGGCTTCCAGCTTTTATTTACCTTACAATTGCGTAAAATGAGAATTATTTTTCTGTTGTACAGTAACGCATGCATTGTCTCTCCTCAAGGGGGTGAATGATGGCTGAAGATGGAGGAATTATCTCCGAGGACAATCAGCTGAACGAAGCAGAGGGAAGCTCCTCGCTTCCAAGGACTTTTATACCACTTAATGACCTGTCCGGTGGCGGTGTGCGCAGTGAGCTCGAGTCTGATGGAGGTGAAAGGCGGGAGAGCGCAGCCGGAGGAGCGGCAGAGGAGACGTCCGCTAGCGACGGTGAAGCTTTGCCCTATCCTTCCTTGGCACCGGTTGTGTTTTTCTATCTGAAGCAGACCACGCGTCCAAGGAGTTGGTGCCTGAAAATGGTTTGCAATCCATATCCTTTCAAACTAAAATGCAAGTCATCTGGATGACATAGCCTACACCTGTTCAGGTAGGACGCGCTACGGTGAACGCCGCCGGGCGCCACCTAAGGTTCGAAAACAACCCATTCCACACTATAATAGTATACATTTCTGCCTTTATTATATTGCCCTCTTTGTAAAGCAATTAAATAGTCAAACAAACAAATAAATAAATAAACAAACACAAACATTCCCTAAAAAAAAAAACACGTTTCAATGTCCCCAATTTGCAAGAGATAATTTCCGCTAGTGCCTTGTGAAAGATAGCATGATATATCCTGCAGAATATCAACATTTATGAGATTTGGCAAGCATGAATAGTACCTCATATGTGCATAAATGTCTTAAAGAGGTTTTGTGCCTTTGCATGTCAAATGATAGGCTATTTATTATACAGTGTTCCATTAACTGGCCAACAAGGCTTCACTCTGAGGCAATTTATGATATTAACTCATTTATTAGCAGTTATAAGTTATTTGCCTGATGTCTTATTTCTAAAGCTGAATTTCTGAATGCAAAGTTCTTTCATATTGTAAAACTGCCTCTGAACACCTTTCGGCAGAGCAAAATCAGAAGGCACGTCAAATTGCAGTGCTAAACTTTGGGCAAGCATGTGTGTCGTGTGAGTTTGGAAGGATTTTATGTCAGTGTTGTATAAAAAAATTGATATTTGGAAAAAGTTCATCTGTAAACCTTAAACCTAACCATCAGTAGTACATACGAAGATTTCTCAAATTCTCATAAACTATCCACCAACATTGTGCTGGAAGCTCTAAAATTCAACCAGAACTGTGGGCCTTTTTCAAGGCAATTAACTCTTTTTTTTACATTCTTCACTTTTAGATGGAAGTGTAGTTTAGAGTAGTCTTTATAGAAAACAATAAGTTAAATTCAATCAATTATTGCTTGTCTTTAAGTATAAGCACCTAAATAAGTGGTTTAAATTAGTCATGTCTATCTAGCCCTCATGACTGTAATTTGATGTTGTAAAAGCAGCAAGATGATTCAATTTGATATCTTAAGAGGCTTCCTAGTTTATCTGCTAGTAGATTTGGAGAAAGTGGAGAAAATGGACCTGATTGTGAGCATGTGAGGAGGAGATGTGGTTTGCGTGTGTGAGTCAGAGGTGTGCACTTGCAGTGTGACTGACTCTGGGTGTAGGTGATCTGTTTGGTTTTCGACAAACTCGCAGCAGCCTCGCCGAAGGAAAGAATGCTCTTTTGGATCGAATGAGCTGGCTGGATGTGATTGTGATGTCTGAGTTCAAATGCTTTGTTTTTCTTCAGTAGGAAATATGATGAGCCTTGTGGGCTCTGAAAAGCTGCCCAATCAAACACACTCATCTTTCCCCCATTCTCGTTTCTCAACCTCCTCACGCTCTTCCCCCATTAGACGATCCCACATCCCTAAAAAATAAGCCAAGCTTATGAAACAAAGTGCCGTTGGGTGTGAGTGGTCCCTGTGGTTCTCTGGGCCTGATGGTCTGGGGTTCCTCAGAGATAATAAAGTCCACTCTTGCCATCGCATTTCCATATTCTTAAATGCCACTGTTTCCACTGTCTTCCTGTCGGTCCAATGCACTCATGTGCTTAGGAAAGGTCTGAGCCAAAAGGGATCCTATTAACTGTGGTCAAGAAATAGATGTGGAATTCCCTCTCCTTGAATTATCCTGCTGCACAGCTGCACACTCAATCTGTTCACCGTCCAGTCAAGATCAATCAACAGACTAGCTTTAGTCACGTAAAGTAACTGAAAAACAGTCTACTACAAAACAAAAAACTACTACAAAATGGTGTAAAACTACACCATTGCTTTACAGTACAGGAGCCACACAGTAACATTTGCATAAACCGGAGTGTCCTCCGTGCATCCTCTTGCAGATTTATGTGTCCAGACAGTCCATTTTTCATGGTGCTATTTCATGTAATGATTCCTCGTATGGTAATTTCTGTTTTTAGATCATTGTTGTGGCTTGAAATAGGGTCTGAGTCTCTGGCTCTCATTATTAGTGGGAAGCTTTTATATATGTGCAGTGTTCATAGATGACCTTTTAATGCATCTCTGTAGCCATTAGATAAAGGTCACTGTTTTTTAATAGTTTGTAAAATATCTTAGATCGATCCTTCTGTCTTCCCATTGGAGGCACGCAAAAGTGTTTGTCCTATTTGAGATTCTTTGGACAAGCTCATTTTTGTACTTTTTCCACTCTTGGGATGTAAAACTCAATTCTAATTTGTTCGTTTTGCAACGTCTGACAGTCTCATTTCCAACTTGGCATGCGCATCAGTTGATCGCTCAATCAGTTCAAGAAAAAAGTCTCTTTGTACTATTGATTTGCCAGTAATGAAGGAGTTTTCTAGTCTCTTTTTGCGTCTGTTTGTCATTAGCGAATGATTCCGAGGTCTTGTGATTCATCATTCTGTGTTTGTATCCTGTCATTCATTAGATCTTCTTTCCCTTGAGTGTTACTCTAGCTTATTGAACCTATGACTTGTCCTTCGTCATGGGGTTTTCTCTGGAACCTCCAGTGTGTTATCTGTAGCGTTCGGCATTCTGGGAGTGTTTGTGTGTGTGTGTGTTTAAGAATGCCTGTGAGAGAGTGAGTTTGGGTGTTTGTGTGACTCAGAAGTTGGCTTCCATTTGAAAGTAGTCTTGCAAATGTTGGACTGCACAGTTAAATGCAATGCAATCAAACATAGATAAGGCGTAAATGATCAAGCTGATTAATTATCTATACATGATTAAGTTTAGATTTTAATTGATTTAATGATGTGATTTTATTTTGTATACTTGCTTCAGTGTCTGAGTATACATACTATATGTGCATTATTCCTAAACACTAGCAATACTGAATAATCACTTTTGTTTATGAAGTATCTTTGACAGTGAAAGAAGTTATAGAAGTGTGATGCAAACAAACAGAAGTTTTACTTTTACATGACACTGTACTATACTAACTGCAAGTGGAAAAGTGTTTCTTCTTATTTACACCAGCATTTTTTTCAGAACCTGTAAGTTAGGATTGGGCAAAGTCGACCAATTTGGCATCGATTGATGTGTAATGTGAAACATCACGATTGACGGTGGCATCGTCATCATAGGCGGTGGTGAATTAATTATTTATGAATAATTAATTCATTCATAACAAATAATTTATTTGTAGCCTACCGTTTTTAACTACCTGACCAGCATGGTCTTTGTTCTAGCCATAAACTAATCATAAATAGCTAAAGATAAGTTGCACAAATTACCATCCGCCAATCAATTTTCTGCAGGTCTCTGGGATAAATAGAGTGATATATAGCGGTATAGTGTGGAAGGAGGGCTTTTCAGAAATTCTGGATGAAATGCCAGTGTGGACGTGGATCGTTTTGGTTCTAAAATGCCATTTTAAAACTAAGACATATTAGTGTAAACTGGGCCTAAGTGTGAATTTTACGCTAGTGGGTTGCTGCTGCGATGGAGGCAGGACGGAGGATCATGATGCCGACTCAGCATCGTGATGTCTATCTGCCATAGACGATGGACATTGGCATCATCTATCAACCCAACCTACTGTAAATGTAAACTTTTGAAATGGGTGTCAAGTTTTTATTAGTGCAAGTAAAGTTATCGTCTCATTTTGTGAGAACGAATGGCAGTCGTGGTTTTATTATGCATTTGGTTTATAAGTGTTTAATAATATTAATAATGTTTTATAACCAGGTAAGTCAACTGAGAAACAGTTCTCGTTTACAATGACGACCTGTTCAAGAGGCAACGTAAAAAGCAAATATGAAGTGGCAGGGACACAATACAATAACACTTTCACAGATTCAGATGATAGGTTAATAAAACTTCTAGAGTGCAGATTTTGACATGTTTTCTGAATGATAAGAAGTGACTGTGAATATAGTGGAGTTTTCCCTATAAGAGATTTGTAAATGAACAGAAAACAAAGAATTTGTCGACGTGATTAAAGGGATGACCAGTTTAATAGAGTACAGTTGACAGTGCTGAGTATTAAATGGTGCATCAGTAACAAAATGAATTGCTGCATGTTAAATACCATCCAGTTTGTGAAGGAGAGTTTTTGAAGATATAAGAATAACTTTGTCTTCTGTCTGTCTACACGGCATTGTTGATGTTTTTGCTATGTTGATTGTGTTATTTGCCTTTTTTTTTTTTGCATGTGATATGCTCACATATAGTATCATTACAAAGTGACATTATTGCGCTGGCAAACATATCTGTAGCAGTGTTGTTTGGTAGTTTTTGTGTTTTTGTGTGGACAGGATTGTTTTGACTTTTCATCTGTGTCATTTCAAAATTGCAGAGGAAACACCTTTTCATTTGTAGTCCACTTCATCGTGTGCAAACTGAAAGTAGACATTCAACTTCTGATTCTACTCTAGGTACGATGTTAATACAATAAGAACTTTATTATTATTTTTTTTGTAATGTTGTTCACCATTTTATTCTGTTTGATTAATTTGCCTTCTCCAAACTACAGTTTGATAGGGTCAGCTGTTTACCAAAGTTGCTGGGTAACATCAATGCAGAATCCTGTCAAACGAGTAGACGCTTGTTCTTAGGATTTTTTAATGTATTTATTTTTTATGAATATAGATTTTTTTTTTTAATAATCATACAAAATACCTCAAGATTCTATTTGTCACAAACACACACACACATTCAAATTGTTTGTCAGTTTCTGTGAGGAGCAATATAATATGCATGTTCACCTCAGAAGTCTACTATAACCCAGACCAGCATTTTTAGATATATTGCGCTTCTGTGAGCTCAATTTATCCAAACATCACTAAAATCTATTTCAAAAACAGTTCACGTCATAGAAAAAAAATAACTTTGACATCAATTGAATCTTGTGTGCAAAGCAAATATACTGGTGTGAAAGACTCTTTGAAGTAAACTCAAGCTTTTTTCAGTTGGCACAAAAGTGTTTTGAAGAAAAAAGTTTATGTGCGTAAAA